TTAAAATTTCTTCAATTTAAAGGGGATACTTTATACAGCAGTACTATGCAATAAAAAATATAGGGAACCGTGCTCGTTCAAGACCTAAAGACCATCGTACCTCTTTACCTGGTTCGTCGATTGAAAATAATACCGTGTTCCGGAATGCGCGCGCTTATTCGCCAGATTCGCATTACAGGAGTTGAGGAATCACTTTAACTTAGGGAGATATGGATCAGTTTGGTAGAACACGGCATACTTTCGGCAGGTGTTGATTAACTTGGAAGAACATGGTGGTCGTGCAAGAACGTGCCCAACGTTGGATTCAAGAGGGTTAACGGGTAAAACAAGGGTTACTTGAAGGAAAACACGGTAGAACGTGGCGAACTTCGAGTAGATGTGGGTTAACGTGTGAGAACAAGGTTAATTTGGTCATAAGACAATTGAATCAAATCAATCAGCCAATGAACTTTAACTGTTCGCGCGGCCCATGTGAGTCCTTTCCCTTAGACATAAAGTTTTGATCAACAAACATCATCGTATAATATCACGCAAACACAGACCAATTATTTAGGTTAAGACCAGGATTGCTTAGCAGCAACTTTTACATGGGTAAGGAGATTAAAAGCCTGAAATGTCCAGATATTTCTAACGTCGTTGTTAAGAGTCCACTGATTTGTGTCATGGTTTTCGTTGCTTTATAATGTACATTCGCTATTTGATAGGCAGAGAACATGTTTTCAAGGATTAAGAAGGTAGAAAGGGCAACGATTTTAAGAATTTCCAATTTCTTCTCATAATAATTCGTGTGATGCTATTTTAATCGTTTCGTTTAAGCTTGTTTTCCTTTAATCAGGTATAAATTATTATTCAGGCCAAATCGTGATTTGTTCTCGAAGCACGCGAAACGAACATTGCTTGCACTTTTGATGTTCTCGAATAATCGTACAGAGAGTTTTTAATCGACTTCTTGTCAGTCGAGCTCTTAGGTGAATTTCGAGCTGAGGGAATTTGAAAAAGTTTTCAAAATTCAAAGGGGCAAATAGGAAAATGTGCATTTTTTTCTCATTTCTGAAAAAAAGTTTAAAAGGTAGAAAAACATAAGTCGAGTCAGAGGGACAGACAGATAAAACAGTCCGCTTTATCTTGTTATAAGTAAAAATTGAAATATTGTAAAAGAATTCAATTTGGGGGGCGGTCAAAAATGCATATCATTTCAGTCGTAAAAAAATTATTTCAAAAAAATCAAATTAACAATACAATACAGTACAAATTTATTCGCCATATATTAAGAGAAAGATGGTTTACAACACAAAATTCATAATACCATTAAGCTTACAATACTTGTTAAAATAATACTTTGATAGATGGTAAGGGGCCTCTAGCAAACACAAGACTGACACGAGGGAGGCCTCCTTACTAAAAAAAACAAGAAAAACAAAAAAGTTAACATCTAGGCGATACGCGTTCATTGGGAACATTTCTTTTGCAAAACCACCAACCTTTATAGTCAGTTTATATATTGAGTTAGTAAAAAGATTCGAAGACGTCTTTCAAAGGGTAAGGGATTCCAAATTTTTGCCCCTTGAAAAAATACAGAAAAATATATAACATTTGGTTTGACATCTAATAATATACATGGAAAAATTACTTAGTTCTGTTTGGTTAAGATAAATGCAGTTTTCAGGTAATTCAGTGCAGAAGAGAGTTAATTCAGTGCAGAAGAGAGTTAATTCAGTGCAGAAGAGGGTTAACCCTTTCAGTGCAGAGAAAGAAACAAATCAGACATTCTGATTGGTCAATAATCAAAGAAACTCATAGATAGCCAATCAAATGCGAGCCTTGGATGTCGCAACAAAATTTGAAAATTTGCGAGCGAAACAATGGCCGGCGTTTTAAGTAGGTTTTCTTTCGCCACCGCAGCTGAAAAACAGCTTAAACAATGAAAACACGGTAAAAGGCGCTGCTTTTTGGTTGTCGGTTTGGAAAAAGTGATGTTTAGAGGAGGGAATTGCCGAAGAAATCGAAAATTACGAGCCGACCCGGCTTAACACTTTGCTCGAGCGATCCAACGCCGAAATTAAAAACAAACATGGTTAAACCTCGGAAACGACGATTCCATTTCATTAAAAGTGATTCGGACACAGACTGAACAATTCCTTGAACTGTTTAGCCGGACTTTGAACTTTTTTGCACCTTAAAGATGCGAAGATATCATTGCATATTATTGTTTTGATCGTACGCAGTTGTTTTGACCGAACGCACGGTTTGAATAAATTATTTTTTGCACTTGATGCGCGCGCTTTGCTTATGTTTAAATGATAGACCATCTCGTATTTTTCCATGTATATTATTAACAGGTAATCACATGATTTTTCTCTTGCAATTTGGAATAAACCAGCACTTGTTAATTTTTTCAAAGACCACAAAGTTTAGTCTTTGAAAAAATTTACTCGTGCTTATTTATTCCAAATTGCACTCGAAATCATGTGATTACCTATACAAAGATGCACACACAAAAAAAAAAATGTTTCTGCAAGTTAAAAATTATTCCCGATGAACGCGTATCGCTTACATATTCATGTTTTTTCTCTTTTCTCTTATTAAAGAGGGCCTCCCTCGTATAAGTCCTATGGTTTCTATAGCCCCCCTGGCCATTTATCACCCCATGCGAGGTAAACGGGGAGGGGGGGGGGATGGTAAAGCGGCAAGGCAGAAATTTCCCCTTGCTACTTAGCCGCTTGTTATATTTGAGGATAAAAAACAAAGGGTATTCAAATAATAGCCCCAACAGTCTTTCGACTCTTAGGTACACGGGTAATTAAGATCATATTTCATCATGTTTCTTACAGCAAGGGGATAACGCAAAACAGCAGGGGCAAATAGTCTGATGGCACCCATGACAGTCTTAAATCTCTCCCTTACACATAGTGTAATAAACTTTGACAAAAGATTGAAAAATAACGTAACCTCATTTTTTCTTTAGATTTAAATAAAGAACTTGAATCATAGAAATTGTCATTTCTTGTCGACATTTTCGAAGGTCTGAAAATGTAAAAAAAAAAAAAAATCCCGATTGTTGTATCTAGACCTAACCTATTGGACACCTGTGCGATCTAACGTTTCGATCGAATACAAAAACACCGAATTCTTCATACAAGTCATTTCATTTCCTTTGCAATTAATCTCCTCCAAACTAGTTAAAATTCAAACTATAAAAAGAGAAACATGGGACAGTGAACAGTGATTCTCATGGGTATGCATGGGTACACATAGGTGTAGATGTCTAAAGCGACCTTTAACCTCAATCCCTGGTGATCGACAAGTTGACCCAAGTCTACAGCAATGCTGATATTTTCCCCTTCATTTACAGTTGCTGGAAGGATTGTTTGTAACGTTTCATGCGCTTTCCTATCTTTGTTTAAGTGATGCAATTCTGAAAAAAAAGAGGTTTAACGTCAGTTTTTAACATTAATTTTCGATTTTTTTCAAATCATTGAGTCATACTCACCGTCACCGTCTCTGCCACTTTCTCTGGCGCACTGGCATTCAATGTTTCTATCACTGCCACTGTCTGTCTCGATGATTGTCCATGTCACTATCAGTCACTTCTCCGTGTCTCTCACTTTTACTCTCGCTTAAGTGACATCATCAGTGTCACCCTCGCTGTCATAGTCACTCTTTCTGTCTTTGTCACTGTCACTCTCCCTGCTCCGTCACTGTCTCTGTCACGCACACCAAGGTGGTCGAGGGCATATTAATCCCTTTGAATGAAATTAATTACTACTTATATCCTACCAGCACGTGCCTGTTGCTTTTTATATAATTTGGTCCCAATGCCTTTCAAGTTCAATACCAAAGTGAGGATATCAGGTAACACTAGAAAGAGGTGAAGAAATCACCTGCCTTTGGGAGATTTTCTGGTAACAATTTCTTTTGAAATATTTTTATCTTTGGGGCTCTCAGTTTCGGGAAATCTATTTGTCACAATTGTCTGAGACGGAAATCCTGGTAGGAAAATATCATTTTGTAATTGTTATTGAAGTGATTTTATACCTAACCTGTGAAATAAGCATTGGATCAACTAATACACCTCATTATTTCCTAAATCTTTGGTTTTCTTTTTTCTCTTTTGGTCTAATAGGTACTGACTAATACACTTTGTTTAATGGGTTCAGTAAAACCAGCCTGTTATGTCGTATTCATTTAATTATGTCCAGCAGATATACCATTTGTTTAAGGTACGTCGTTTATGTACACAAACCACTATGCTGCTATGAGACCAAACCCCTGTTGAAAAAAGCTGCTTTGAAGGGTAAATTACAAGAAAAGTGTGTGCAGTTCTTCAGAGATTTCTAATGCTATGGGAGCACGTGAGCGCTTACGAGCAGCACACGATATTGGGAGCTCCGCATGTTTTTGCCGATTTCTCATTAATTCTCGATCGGACTCTCCTCCATCTTCAAGCCACAGCCCTATTTACGTCCTGCTATGGCTTTTTGCTATTCTAGACAAACTTTACAGTCTATTTCGTTGCCTACCGCTCTCTTAAGACTGGACCCCGGTGTATGGCGGCGATTAATTCATTTTGGCATCTCGAGGGTGAAACCTACTCGGCGCGGAACTCGTGGTGGTCGAAGGAGATCATGCACTCCTCCTTCCTCTACCACTTTTCTGCATCGTACTAATAATTTCTGCGCCACTCCTTCTCTGGAATCAACATTTTGTTCACCAACGGTTGGAAATTTACCGGAAAGACGTGTTTTGCATATTCCTCCTCCGTCTCAATTAAATATTCAACTTGATACCTTTCCCATCGGTTCGATAAACAATCAACCTGTCACGGCAATCGGATCGCAAAATCGCCATCGCACCTCAAGTACGGCACCCCGAGGCCGTAATTCGTCCAATATCTCCGTGATAAACTGTCGACCGCGACGAGAGGAACACGAGTTGGCATGAACATCTTACTAGCAAACACATAGTCGTTAGCGCCTTAAATCGACGAAGTGCGATCTGTGATGTTGAACGTAAAGCCTGATTTAGGTTTCTTTACAGAAACTTGGTTACGTGAAACCATCAGTGACAGCCAAGTTAATATTCCTGGTTACTCGTTTATCGCAAGAAATCGTTGTGTGGATATCCATGGTGGTGTAGGACTTTACATCCATGATTCCATCAAATTTAAACCACTCGATGAATTTTCGGACCCTGATTTTGAGTCACTTTGGGTGTGGCTGAGGCCAAGGAGGCTGCCTAGAGGATTTCCCTGCCTGGTTGCTGGTACCGTCTACCACCCACAGTTAGGCGTTAACAATAGTGGTATGCTTAACCACCTTACTACTACACTGACTGACATTGTGGGCCAGTATCCCGGTTGTGGTATATTCGTGTGCGGCGATTTTAATCGGTTGAGCCTTAGCCGCCTCACGTCGCAGTTCAAGTTGAAGCAAATTATTGATAAGCCAACGAGAGGCGATAAGATACTGGACCTCGTTTTGACCAACTTGTCACATACGTATGACGAGAACGCTGTTTACACCCTGCCACCGTTTGGTCTTTCAGATCATAACGTGGTCATCGTCCGCACTAAAAAGAGGCCATCCCGCGCTAGGCCTAGCAGAAAGTTAATTTCGAGGCGTGACACACGTGCCAGTAGGAAAGCCGAACTAGGACGGTTCTTTTCAGCCGTTGATTGGTCCATTTTGGATTCTGCCCCTAATATTGATGATCGCTCTAGACAACTGTGTGACATCATCACCGCAGGTCTGGACGCTATCATGCCCGCAGTGAAATCTAAGGTTCATCTTAATGACCCTTCGTGGATTACACCTGAATTTAAGACTCTAATCGCCAAGCGTCAGCAAGCTTTTATGTCAGGGGATTTAGCCAGCTTCCGTCAGCTTCGAAATACTGTTAACCTGGAGCGGAAAGCTCTTCGTGAGAGGTTTTTTGCCTCTAAAGTTAAACATCTAAAGAACACCAAGCCCTCCCAATGGTGGGGGGAGGTCAAGCGTATCGCTGGGATGTCTCCTGCATCAGGTTCTGACAATCTGCGTTCGCTACTCCACGTTGAGGGACTGGATCACCAACTTCCAGACCGTGATGTTGCAAATGCCATCAATTCTGCCTTTCTGGACCAAATGAAGTCTTTCTCGTCACTCGATGCTACTCCACCCTTCGAAGCGAACTCAGCGGTGGTAACCATTTCTGAGGTCGATGTTTTGACCGCAATCAGAAAGTTGAACCCCCGCAAGGCTGCAGGTCCCGATGGGATACCTAGTTGGGTGTTTAGGGAATATGCTGACTTTATAGCTAAGTCAGTGACTTCCATCCTTAATTGTAGCTTTGCTGAGAAACAACTTCCCCCATCTTGGAAGCTGGCGGATGTGGTACCCATTCCCAAACAGAAACCTGTCGAAGACATCAACAAGCACTTACGACCCATTTCCCTCACACCAATAATTTCCAAATTAGCCGAAGACTTCGTGGTATCTGCGTTCATCGGTCCCGCTGTGTTGAAAATTATCGATCCCGACCAGTTTAGAGCCTTACCGAAATCCTCCACGGCCCTAGCTCTGACGTCCATGCTCCATCACTGGAGCATGGACGCGCAACTGATGGCACGGGATCTGCAGTCAGGGTGGTCCTGTTTGACTACCGCAAAGCTTTTGACTACATTGACCATCAACTGCTCACACACAAAATTTACAGTCTTGATATCCCTCGGGGAGTAGCACGTTGGGTAGTCGACTTCTTAGTGAATCGCTACCAACGCGTAAAATTATCTGCTGATTGTTTCTCTGAGTGGGGCCCCGTACCAGCTGGTGTACCTCAGGGGACAAAATTGGGGCCATGGCTCTTCTTGCTAATGATAAACGATCTAAGAATTTCCCAGGTTCAAACTTGGAAGTACGTTGATGATACGACGTTGGCAGAGATCGTCCCGCGTAACGCATTAGGTGACGCCCAAACCGCTGTCAAAGTGGTGGAGGATTGGTCCAAAGCACAGAAGATGCAGCTTAACGCTGACAAATGCAAAGTTATGGTCATCGACTACAAAAGGCAGAAACACCATTTCACTCCCCTCTTGGTCGATGGCAAAGTATTAGAGACGGTAGAGTCGGCTAGGATCCTAGGCGTGACTATTTCGTGTAACCTTAAGTGGAATAACCACGTCAATGATGTTATAAAAAGAGCAAACAAACGATTATACTTTTTAGTCCTCCTAAAGAGAGACCGCGTTCCAGCGGATGACATAATTAATTTTTATTGTACAACTATTCGTCCTGTTCTGGAATACTGTGCACAAATATTTCATCATGCGTTACCTGCGTATCTTAGTGATGACATTGAAAGGGTCCAAAGACGCACATTATCCATCATTTCACCAGAACTGTCATAACATGACTCCTTAGACAGGCACGGTTTAGCTTCGCTCTATGACAGACGCATGAAATTATGTACGGATCTGTTTTTGTCTGTCTCAAATCCATCTCACAAATTATATAATTTGCTGCCAGATAGGCATTTTTCAGCTTACAATACTAGACACCGGTGCGTTTTTAACATGCCGCGCTTTCGCACTGACCGTTTTAAATTTTCATTTATCCCGGCTATGTGCGCGTGTGCTAACCTAGATTCTTAGCTATTCCACTGCTGTATATTAGCTATATTAGTTATATTAGTAATTTTATTTAGGTCTCAGCATTTTTGTAATAGGTAGTCTTATATAGCCTTATATAATCAATGATTATGAAAAGCACACAATTCAGCCTATGGCTGCAATGTATTTTATTTGATAATAAACTATATATCTATCTATATAAACTATCTATCTGCTGAAAAACAAAACTCCTGAAAAACAATTTTGATACTTACTTAGCCTATATCAGGGAGTAACCACCTCCCTCGCCCCATAGGCCACACAGTCAACTTCGCATTTTCTGCTCAAGAGACTAAGATTTTTTCCTCTGAAGGAAAATGCCATCTTTACAGATACCGAGCACTTCTCAGAAGGTGAGAGTGTAATCAAGAAACTTACCAAGATATATTGGTCGAAGCCTGTATATAAGATAGAATTTGAGCACAAACCATCAATACATGTTATCACATTATGTGCAGCAAGCGTAGTAGCTCATGCATCTTTAGGATGTACCACGAGTCTAACAATTTCGTTATTTCAGTTTTGCGCTCAATGGATTAACGAACACATTGTTATTGCTATCATTTTAAACGAAAATGATACAATTTTTAGAATGGCTTTTTCAAATATTGCTTCCATTCTGACATTCTCCTGCTCTGGTCTTAACGGTGGTATGCTATGCCAAAGCTTACATCCGGGACATGACGGAAGAAGAAGATGACAACAAACTGACAAGAAGTAGTTTCTAATCCTGAGGAATCCAGTCATGCGCACCTTTATGAACTTTGTCAAATTTTGTTTCGATGTAGGGTGCAATTGTGAAGAGTGTAGGGTCGAAAAGGAAGAAGAAAAATGTAGCGTTTTGAATAAGGATGAAGAGAAGAGAGAAGGAAAAGAGTGAGACTTTTGTTACACCACTCTTTTTTTATTCTTCCGTTTTTCACAATGTTAATGAAACCAAAAATTCAGCAACGGTCTAGTTTCCAACTGAATGGTTCTCTGAAATAAATTGTGTAATTCTTGTGTCATTTGAAGAATGATGCGTCTGCTTCCCACGATGGTAGTGTTTTGGGGGTGTAGGTAGGGTGGGTGACATGGGACAAATCTCTGTTGAGGGTAGTCAAATTGGTACCACTGGTCTGTGTAGACGCACACGGGTTTCTGTTGCTCCAATGTCATTTGCACGCTCCAACCGGTTCCTCCCAGTAACGTGTGGGGTTTGGTTGTGTTTCTCTGTAACAGTCCCGTCTTTAACACATTGTTGGGTAGAGGGCATTGCAACGTCTTGTTGGCGCGTAACACGTGCTGCAAACCCTCGTGCAACATGCTTTCCGTCAAAGGCGTGATACAAACGGTGCAGGAGTGAGTGGGCAGAATGATGATGCAAACGCTCATGTCATACCTTCTGGCCGATTCCTCGGCGAGAGCATCCACACCTCACAGGACACGCCCATTTGTGTATTTGATGTATAAAGCGAGAGGTAAAAGTACGGAAGATTTTCTCAAGTTATTTTCTAAGCATGATCTTGCAAGTAACGATGACAAAGTAGGGGACATCTTGGAAGATATTGTAGAGAACGAAATAAAAGCTTTTGAATAAAACACATGTGTTTCATTTGAATCATGAGTTGTGTAGAGCAAGGTTTTACGTTTAAATCTCCTTTGAGCATTTTGGTCGTGGGACCCTCCAACTGTGGAAAGACCACCTTCCTAAAACGTCTCTTTTTGGAAAATGAGGACCTTCTTGTGACGCCCCCCAGAAGGATCATCTACTGTTACGGGTCTTGGCAACCGACCTTTGACATCCTAAAAAGGAAAGGTGTGACGTTCCACGAAGGAAGTACCTACCCATGAACAATTGAAAGAATGGTTTGGGGACAAAAAAGGGGGTCTCTTGATCTTGGACGATCTCATTGCCAAAGTAGGAGACGACAAAGATATCCTAAATCTCTCCACTCAGTATTCGCATCACATGAACGTCACCATGTTTTACCTATGTCAAGACATGTTCCCTCACGGAAAATACGCCAAGACCATCTCTAGGAATGCTCAATACATAGTGGCGTTCAAAAATCCTAGGGACCAGGTGGCCTTGTGCATGCTCTTACCTCAAATGCATCCCATGACTTGAGTTATTTATTATTAGATGTACATCCTGCTACTCCAGACAATAGAAGATTACTGAGTCACTTATTGAAACACGAAGGTTGTATCTGTTGTTACAGATAGAGATAAATGGATTCCAGTCCCATTTGAACATCCAATGCAAATTTGTCCAATTTGGAAAAACTCTTGCATGCCAATAAAGATCAGATCAATGCCATGAGTGAATTCACCATTAACATGTTGAAGAATAACTTCCCCTTACCACCACACGTCGTGGCAAAGTACGAAAGCACAAACATAATCTCAGGGAAGTTTCAAAACACAAGAATTCCTTAAAGATACGTCATCAAGTGCTCATGAATCAAAAGGGTGGTAGCTTTTGGAGTGGTCTGAATGAAGCGCTTTGTTGTTGCATAAAATGAAAAGAGGTAGAGGTTCATTCCATTTTTGAGGAGGGAACTACGATATAGACATAAATGGGGTGACATGTAACCCACATTTCAAACAGTGGTTTTTGTCGTCTGTGGAAGAAACATATCGCCGTTCCTCTTCAACGCTTAAGGAAACGTACATGATGATAAAACCCGATGAATTTCGTACCTTGAAGGAAAAAAATAAGTTAAATGATAAACTACGACAAGGACCATCGGTAGCCATGACTGCCCCTGGAGTCCCTCAACCCCCCATCAACGACAACAAGATGGATGGGTTACAAGAAAGACTGTTGAAAGAATTGGTAAAATCCATAAATGCCAACACACAATCCATTGTCCCCCAAATCACCGAAACACCTTTGACGGTAAAAAAGGAGGAGCCAAAGCCTAAGAAAAAACGTAAAAAAAACTGAAGTTGAACGATTGAAAGAGTTCAGTTTGTGGGAACCTTGGGAAAAGAGAGGATACGATCCCTATCAAGCATTTCAAGATGACGAAGATGAATACACACCAAGTACGAGCCAAGGGAAGGGGAAAAAGGGGAAAGGGAAGAGCAAGAAAAAAAAGACTGGTTAAAAGATGTCCTCAATCTGGAGGTGGTCATTCCAGGAAGAGAACGCGCCAGCAAGGGGGAGGATTCGACATTCAAAAATGGATATCTAAATTGGGGGTAGAGTTTCACTGGCTGGGGTACCAGTACACGGGGCCAGGCACGAAACTATAAAAAAGATTGAATAGCGGGGATCCTGGTATAAACCATTTAGATCGACTTGCCAAACAACATGATATTGATAGGCAATCGTAAAATGGTGGCGGGTATCAAACGATTTCCTGGAAAAAAGACAATGACCAAAAAGATTGTGAAAAAGATCATGCAGGGTAAAATAAAATTAGGTTTGTAATGTACCCATGTCTCATTCTTGACTTCACTTAGTGACGCAATAAATTTCTTCTACCCCTAATTCGGATTTTACGTCACTCTTCCCAGCAATTCTCAGGCATTGACCACTGGACCTTATCTAACAAAGCAGTTTCGTCATGACAGTAGAGGATGGATAGAGTCTAAGACAGTCAGATCAAATCAGAATAGAGCTCACGGTCTTAAACACCACCACCGAAGGTCCGTCCATACTCACCATTCATTTCAGACGTGTGTGCTAAGTGTCCAAAGATGATGAATCACTTCTATGTTACATTACCTAGCAACGATGGTAGCATCAAATACTATCGACAGAATACAAATCATTCCTGGAAAAATCGCCTCTGGCACCGTATCAATCTAGAGGGCGATTGGGAGGTAGGATTGGCCAGCATCAGTCTACCGTGTGAATCATTATTACAAGACTATCTACAAACCTTGACAGCTGACGATGTACTTTTACGAACTGTGCGCAGAGTATACAATACACTAAGCTGATCCTATGACACAAAAATCACCACAGTTTGTTACAAGGATGTACAAGACAAAAGGTTGGTGACCGTACATGATTTGCTTGAAGCTCTCTTTGACATGGAACGTGACTATTTCGTCATCGCTTTGGATAACACGTTC